ACACATCAAGCAATCAACTATAATAATCCAATGTTATCAGTGGGATTGCGTCTGATTCATTTTTCAGGCATCAATTACTTAATTAACTCGGGATACAATCATAAAAGAACATACAAACTTATAAATAAACCAGGTAAATATGTCAACGTGGCAATTGGCACAGAAAAGAAAGCAAGGCTAATCAATAAAAATCTTTCAGAGTACCGCAAAAAAGCTACTAAAACATATTATTGCTCAAGCAATCTGGCCTTCGACTAATAGTATAACTTGATGGCGCTCCTGTTGAAGGTCAATGATCTTGGCCTACAAAACCCTGCATATTGCTCAAATAGCTCTTCTAGGGGGCCTAAACCCCCTGCATGTAGGACCAACTTGCTATATTCATTCCCCCTGGCCCTGGTATATGGTTTTGATCAAATGGCTGGAGCATTGATTCATTTAACTGGTATATTGTCAGTTGACTGCAATGTCTGGTGCCAATACTATTATAATGCTTTCAGGTGGCTTCTTTTCCCCTGAACTTTAGTTTGCGTCCGCTCAGGGCTGTCAAAATTAACCGAGCAAATTTTTAATGCTTTTAGAGGGCCTTTGTCCTTGTTCCCATGCTTAAGATCATGGGACCGTAATTCCCTATCCATGTCTTTTGCTTGCTTCCTTCTCGACCCCAATATCATCGTCTCGTTGGAAGCACATTGATTACAGATCTTCCATGTCTAACAGACTACTACTTCTCATAACCCTTGATTTGCGATATCTTTGAAGAGAAAGTGATAGAATCATGTAGACCAGTTGACAACTAACTTCTGAAGAGGTTGGCAGGTTTTCCGCCTGAACTAGAAAAACAGTGTCTGACGCTTGAAAATTATTTCATGAACTGATACCAGGTTGCCACGGAAAGATTATACTTACTAATCAAACTATCCAGTTGTAAGCACCATCTAGCTCAGGTGGAGTTATGATTAATTTGAAGAAATCCTTAATGCAAATTGCACCACTTACAGAGTCATTCTGTTTTGGAGTTTAATTAACTAGTTTATCCCTGAGGAGGGGGACGGGGAAGTTATTTTTCTTAGTTTATCTTAACCCATTATTGAAAGAGAACTGAACGATCAAATCATCATTACTTTTAACCCAAATGTTTATGTGAACATTTCCGGAATCATGGGATTAAGTTCTAGGTCATACACCTTCCTATGATGAAGATTCTTGAACTCATTATGGATATTCCCTTCACACCCAATGCCTAGGTCCAGGCTAAACTTGGAAAAGCCAGACTAGATTGAAATATGTCAAATGTTTGTTGGCTGGGAAGACAAATGCATGGTGGGGTGGGAAATGGGAATCATTGCCTTGTGGGGTTTGAGTGGGCTGGATTGCAGAATGGTAGCCTATTAGTAAGTTATGATATGAGCGTTAGGTATGTGGAAGAATTGGGAGATGAAGCAATCAGAAGAACACATCCATCTCAAGACTGAAGTTGATGAGATCCTCCCAACACAGCCCATTGCTTATCCTCAAAAAAAAAAGAAAAAGAAAAAAATCATTCCTCAATTTATTAATTCAGAGTTCTAGTCAAAACTAACTGTTGCTGGGGCCCCTAAATCTACTTGCAGTATCAATCTTTTAGCAAATTAATGTGATCTTGTCCCTCCCCTCCTCCTGGATGTTCTTTTCATAATCCTGTTATCTTTGATTTTTCTTTACTCTTTTCATCTTTTTACTAGTAACTTGCATTGTTTCATGCTGTCGATTTTTGATTAGTTTTTGTCTCTTGCTGCCTCTTATTTGGCATATTCTTGTTTCTTTTACTGCTTCTCAGGAGTTAAACAAACAGTAGAATGGGGCTACTGACCAACCAAGGCAGCAACATCCACTAGTATAGTAATGTAGTAGTGTTATTTATCCATGCATGCATCCAAGAAAAGCCATCGAGAATATAGGACTTCTTTCTCCTTATCCATAACGCTGCGGTTCTGGATAAAAATGTTTCCATCTACGGATAGTTTTTCTCTTTCTTTTTCTTTTTCTTTTTTGGAAAGACACAGATAGATAAATTTTATCTATGCGATTTTAGCTGCAGAGATCAGACACAGAAAGAATTGTTTATGCAAACAATACTAGTTGTCTCTTGATGTCCCCACAAACACTTCCCTTGCATCTTTCTTCTCCACAATTAAACACAACATAGCATGTGAAGTATATGGAAAGAAGGATGGTGCATATCCTGATGATGTTGACAGATACCCTGTTCCACAAGCGCTTGCAAGCTAGCTTCAATCTCCCCCCCCCCCCCCCCCTCTCCCCTCTCCTCTTTCGTCTGCTTCTCCTTCCTTTACCATTTTCTGACGGAGGGCAATAAGGAGAACCTTGTTCTGCATCCTGATGCTGATAGATGCACGTATGTATATTGTATTGTATAGCAGTGCTTTCTCTTCAAAACAGAGTGCGTAAAGGGACCAAGAATTTTGTTTAGGAATTGCATGTGCTCCTTTTCTTCTTATGCTGCTTTTGACGTTTAAACCGATTCAAAAGAGAAGAAACAAATCAAACAATCATTCATGAATTCATACTTGTTCACATCTACGATACAGGATACAGAAAATTTTCAAAGAGAAGTTATTAAGCAGCAGTTTGGTTGCTTTGTATATCGAAATTTCTTTAATTTTGTTCGCGGACAATAGCATGAAGACTTAAAAATCCGTCTTTTATTTATACTAGCAATGGATCACGTGCCTTGCACGTGAACGTAGTGCTTTTAGATTTTTCTTTTCCCTTAAAATTTTTAGAATATCAACTGTTTTGAAGGAATAAATGTAATTGAGACAAAAAAGATGTGATATTTAATATTTATATTATGTTTGGATTGTCAATTATTCCACTTTATTTACACGCACTGGTTTGCTTGCATCATCAACACATTTTCCAATCACCTTTTTATCTCACATACATCATATCAAAAAAGGTCTACAGCACTTTTTTACAAAATTTTCGCAAATAATTTACAATACAAACACGTTCAGCTGCAAGGTCCCGCAATCATCCAATAAAAAGTGGGCTCTTTTACATCTCCATTTGGTGTTAAGGTTTTCCTTCAATTCCTCAGCCCCTCTCCTTTTTCTTGATTTTTTTTTTTTTGGGTTTATTGTCCCACTAATTAAACCTGTTGATTCCCATCGTTCTTAAGAAATTTGGCTCTACGGAATTGAGAGCGAGATAGTAACAAACATAAATTATTATTGTCATAAAATTAGGAGGAGTCCAAAAGGGCAGAAGGCTTTTCCTCACTAATTGGTTTTTAACAAAGCCGAAGGGTGTTCAAAAAATTCATCAAACAAATTGTGGATTCAAGGTGGCATATACAAAATTGGAAACCGCGGGTTCTTTCTGGTGAGTCCACTTTCCCAATATGGACTGTGGGTCCTTAGCCAATCTAGGCAACAAACCTAATGGGGCTCCACTTAGCGTAATGAAGGTGTTAACAATTAAACATAAAATTGTGGATGATCCTGTTCCCCGAGCGATTGATCACCATCGATCATTTTTTTAAATAATTTTTTCTTGACGAGAAAGAGAAGTTTATCATACAAAGAAGGAGAAGCATATCAGAGCAAAGTTCATTATGCAAACAATAAGGAGAAGTATTAAAATATAAGAGACTAAACTAATTGTGTCAAACAAATCTAAAATGGCGATTGCCCAAAAAAAAAAAAAGTTTAAAACTGTGCCTCCGTTTCGATTAGTTATTTTTAGTGATGCTTTTGAAATATTTTACTGTAATAGTATATATCAAAAACTTTTATTGTATATTTATTTTTTGTAATATTTTTGGAGGGATTTTAAGAATATATTTTGGTGTATCTTTTAAAAAAAAAATATTTTTAGAGTATTTTTTAAAAATTAATACTACCACCCCAGCCCCTCACTCCTTTCGCCTCCCCTCCTTCTTCCCCTTTTCCTCCCTCTTCCCCTTTCTTCTTCGCTTTCCCCTCCCACCCTTCTCAATCTGGTCGTGGCCAAATCACGACCAAAAAGTTGTGACCTTTTGGTCACGATCTGCCCTTCGTGACCAGATCGTAGTCGAGGCCTTGTTTGGTCGCAGCTAGATCTAAAGGGAAGGGAGGGAACGAGGGGAAGAGAAGGAGAGGAAAGAGGAAGAGAGAGGAGGGGGATGAAGAGGGAGGAGGTGGTGGGTGATGGTGATAAGTGAAAAATATTGCAAAAGTTTTATATATATATATATTTTTTAAATTTTTTTAAAAATTTAAAAATTATTTTAAATTATTTTTTAAATTAAAGGGGTTGAATGAAATTTTTTTAAATTATTTTTATTTATGTATTATTATAACAATATATTTAAAAAGCTAGTTTTTGAAAAATAGGTAATCCAAACGATCTTGGACTGCAATTATGTTATTAACCAGTAACTATTAGTTGGTTTACTTTTCTTGGATCTATTCAAAGTTTAAACAAGCTTAGCTCGGTTCAACCCCTTCCTCGAGCGTTGGTGGCCTAGCGTTGGCGTTCTTTGGTCACTCTTTATGGCCTATCCTTCCGCCGTGGCTGGAAACTAGTGTTCGAGCACTGGCGTTCTTCAGTCTTTCTGGCCCTTCCTCAGCCCTGGCTGGAAACTGCCGTGAGCTTTGGAAGGTGCAGAACGCCGTCGATACCAGTCCGTTTACCGTTAGCAGCCACCGGACATTCTCACATGGTAGTTGCACCTCAGAACCACTGGCCATCGGTCCCACCCCTCGCAATCCTAAACCCCACCATTTTGTCCAAACCATCCAAATATATATTCCTTAATATCAACCCCTCCGTCCCCACCTCCCATCTCACCCCTTATCTTCTCCTTTATAAATCACTCCTCCCGCAATTCATTTTTTTTAACGCCGTCTAACAAATTCCTCCCCCCGGCCACATTCACCATTTCATCTCTGGCGCTCATCAATTATTTCCCACCTTTCCAGCTTTCCTCACTAACTTGCGCGCCACCTTGAATTATTATGTTACACTGCATGCAGACGCCGTCACCGGAGAACTTCACCGCTGCCGGCATGATCGCCGATATGAGCGTACTGGAAAGGCAGAGAGCAGTGTTGCAACGCCTTTACCAGCAGCAGCAGCATCAACAGGACATGCATTCTTCGCAACCCACAACATCATCAATGCCTCTGTTTCAGTACCAGAATTTAGTGAATCCCTTGAAAGTTCATCAAGAAAATTCCCCCAATTTCGGGTTCACCTGTTCCGAAATCACGACTACTAATACTAATTTGGAAATGGATCACCATCAACTATCCTGCTCTAACGTTACTGCTGCTTCATCTAAAACTCATCATGTTGCTCCCAGCAAGAAAAGGAAAGCAGAGGTTGGTAAATTAAATACTCTACAAACCTTGCAAAATTCGGATATTCCAATGCTATTGGAGTAATTTTTAGTGCGCTTGATTGATTGATTTATTTATTTTTCGGCAGTTTGATGTAGAAGAGGAGTGCAAGGACAAAAGGGTCGAAGGAGAAGCAGGGGAAGTACAGTCAGGGATTACCGTAAAAAGTGAAAAGGAAAATTCAGGGAGAAATTCCAGGGAAAATTCCAGTTCCAAGGCTTCAGAGGTGGTTCAGAAGACTGATTACATTCATGTCAGAGCGCGTCGTGGTCAGGCCACTGATAGCCACAGCTTAGCTGAAAGAGTGAGTCGCTCAGTGTTCTACCAGTTTGCCAGAGACTTCAATGTTCTGGGAATTACCATATATTCAGGCTAAAATACTTTGCTAAATTCGTTTAAACAAAATGTCTATTTCAGGCTAGGAGGGAGAAAATTAGTAAGAAGATGAAATGTCTACAAGATTTAGTCCCTGGCTGTAACAAAGTTACTGGGAAGGCTGGCATGCTGGATGAAATTATTAATTACGTTCAATCTCTTCAGAAACAAGTTGAGGTAAAATCTGGAATTCGACTTTGGAGATTCTTGATTTTGTTAATCGGCCAGACGTGTTCATGACTTCAGTTGATTGTACCTTGCAGTTCCTTTCAATGAAATTGGCTACTCTGAATCCGCGGCTAGACTTTAACGTTGACAACATCTTTGCAAAAGAGGTTAATATCAGCGTAATCTTTCCACTTTTTGAGTATTATACTTCTTCGGTGTAAAGAGAATTTTAACATGTAAAACTGACATTTATTTATTGGGATTGTAGTTTCCAGCTTACATCGCCAGTTTTCCGACCGCGGCTACACCGATAGAAGTGGTTCATTCAGCCTTACTACAGTTCAATCAAGGGCAACAAGAACCCACAAGTTCAGGGCCTGATATGGCAATCAATCCTGCTCAGATGGTGCCACAGAGAACCGGAACATCCTCGTTAACATTTCCGGAAGCATATTTTGATTCAATTTCTAGTCTGTCCGTGAGTAACTTTATTCAAATCTTGCTGCTTAATTTGTCCAAGAACTTACTCTGATGACTACTTCACTGTTAAATTGCAGCAGACGCCAACTTGGGACAGCGATTGGCAAAGCTTTTACAACAATGTCGTCAGCTATCATTAAGAGTAAACAGTCAATTTCGGTCTCACTTTACGTATAGGGTGAGTATTTAGTTAGGTTTTGTGAAATTGTCAGATTTGTTGGATACGGCAATTGGCAAGTCGCTTTATGCAATCAATTACTAATATTCATTTATAATCACGAGGAGCTGCGTAAATTTGTAAAGTCGTAAATACGATTGCTGTGCAAGTTATAGACATCGCTGTCATTGATCAATCCTCTTCCTCAGAGGTTTACTAAAATTATATGTTATGATATACCTGCAGCCTAGATAGCAATTACTAGTTTACTACTACAATGGAGCAGGCAGGGTACCTTACCTTCTTCGCCAGTGCTTCTTATCGTACATTTCAGCGAAGCAGATATCAGCAACATGGCTTAAAGCCTCAAGATTTCAAGTTCTGTGATTTTAAGATGGAGTGCCAAAAAAATTTTTTTTTTTTTGGACATCAGATTAACTAGAATGTTGGAGAAAAAAAAAAATTTTTTTTTTTTGCTTCTAATTTAGCTATATAAATTGGTCCCCTCATTCAATGCGATTTTGCTTGCAGAGGAGATTATTTGCTTGTATAGTAAATCTTGGTACCACTGGTGAGATTTGATTTATATAATTGTAATAATAGTTCTGATTCTTGATCGTGTTCCACTGGATGACAAGTATACATACATGTTTCTATCACGCATATCTTTATACTACTGTAAGATACGATGGAGAGACCAAATTGCAATTTCACCACCGCTTGGCCCTCCGCCAGAGTCCCCCCGGAGAAGAAATTCATAGAAAAGAAAGAGAGAATAATGCTGGACGGCGAAAGGGGTAAGGTAATTACAGTTGGGAACTTTTAAGCAGAGGGGGGATGGGGGTGGGGATAAGCAAAAGTGGTGGGGGACGAGGTGAATGAAAAGGAAAGATGGTTTAGTGGTCCAATTTGCAGTTGTACTTGAAAGGGTTGCTTGTGAGTGGCTTTCCTTGCTATAGTGACCTCACCACAGAGGAGGAGCCACTGCCACTTGAGAGGGCCAACATTTCGGACAAGGTGTTCCTTCCTTCTCCATTGCGAAACAGGTTTTTAGAATGGCATCATCATTGCACTCGCACATGATGAAAATTGACAAAATTTATTGAGGCCACTTTCCTCCTACTACTGGCGTTGTTGCCTGTATAACACCAAGATACCAACTTTTACATGGGTGGGGTGGGGTGGGGTGGGGTGGGGTGGGGTTGGGAGACTGGAGACGTATCTATTAATGTACTAGTAATTCATTAAAGACTCGTACTTACCTGTTATTATGGAGGAGCTGATGAGCTATGAGATTTTTCATCTCAAGTTCTTGATATAAATAGTAGATAAACTGATGAAACACTACTACATATTATTAGTTACTGAGATAATCTGAAATGCCTTGTTTGGATTGCCATTTTCCACCGAAAAATGGCCTTGTTTTTCGTGAACACATTTCCCTATCACCTTTTTACCTCACATACATCAAATCGCTACAGTAATTTTCCAACGAAAAATTCATGGAAAATGCAATCCAAATGCAACCTAACATTTCTATAACCTAATCTATCCTAATTTGAGGAGAGCGAAAAGTTTTAAAGAAACTAACTGTGTATAAAGGCTAAAAGAGCCAACTTACATTGGTGGGGATGGGGAGAGTGGACACGTACCTATTAATGTATTAATTCATTAAAAACTTGTACTTACCTATTATGGAGGAGCCGATGAGCTCTGAGATTTTCCACCTCAAGTTCTTGTTATGAATAGCAGATAAACTGATGAAGCACTGCGTAAGAACGTCCTATTTTTTTCACCTAATATTACCTAGAGGGAATGAAGCTTAAAGATGCTGTGTATAAGGGACTAGTAGATATAAAAATCTATCAGATTAAAAGGGTGATCTGACACTTCCTCCGGAGCTTGAATTCCTGACTTACCGACTAAAGCTCAGTGGTAAAAATGACTTGTGCTAGTTGCTAACCAAACGAATTTTGGGACATGTTCCTTAACACAGCTTCTACGCGTCATGGCTGCGTTCGCCTTCCTTGTGTCTGCTAACCAACGTACGACGACAAATATGTCAAACAAATGAACAATCCCCTTCCTCGGGCCTATTATAGCTTTGTTCTCGTTTGGTTTAGATTTTGTATAAGCTGATTATAAAAAGGGATTATGGAGAATAATCAGATTCAATAAAAATTACTTTTTGATAAATCGTGAATTTTAACTTTTTTTTAATTGTTAAAAAAAATTTATAATCTAAATACAAAATCAAACAAGAATATCGGGGAAAAAATGATTATTCAAAACCAGAATCGATAATCAATTAAAATAATTAACCAAAACCAAGCCTTCAGTATTAATGGGTGAGAGATTTTATAAACAAATCACTATCAAAATATTGTGCAATAGTTTGTCTTTGTGTTCAAAATATTCAGTGCTAGAGCTCCGTGTTACTAGTAATGAAGATTTGCCATCATAGCAAATGCACAATTCATTTCTTGTGAAATCAACAACAATTGCACTGTTTGGATTCAGCATTTTTGAAAAACAATTTTTTCATCTACAATGCTACAGTAATACACAAATAAAAACATCTTAAAAAACATCATATCCAAACAATATATAAAAAATAATTTCAAATATACAAAAAAATTCGGAATTTTCGATTTCGAATTATGCAAATTTGGTTCGAATTCGGTAATGGAGTTTTTGAAATCGGAAATAGAAATCAGATTTTTCGATTTCAATTTCGTTTTATACTATATATATATATATATTAATATTTTTTATATATATAATATTTTTTTATTTCAATTTTGTTTTATAATATGTATATTAATATATATTAATGTGTATATTTCAATAATGTATATTATATTATATATATAATTATATTAATATTAATATGTATATTATATATATTATATCAATTGAAATAAATATATATATTTATATATAAATATAAATATTTTGTTTAAAATATATTTATATAAATATATAACTATATATATTTCAATTTTGTTTTATAATATGTATATTAATATATAATATATAACATATAATTTATAATTTATAAATATAATATATTAATATACATATTATATTTATATTATATTTATTTATAATTTATAAATATAATATATTAATATACATATTATATTTATATTATATTTATAAATATATATTAATATACATATTATAAAACAAAATTGAAATAAAAAATATTATATATATATAAATGAATAAATATTAACATATAGAAACAGAGCCAGTATATATTTAAAAAATCCAAAAAAATTTATAAATTATAAAAATATTAAAAAATATATTTTAAAAATACCTCTAATAACAATCCCAAAAACATCTACAGTAAAAGTTTTTCATATACACCTCCAAAAACAGCTAGTCCAAATATACTTGTTACGGTTTTTCAGATCTAAAGTTCATCTCTTTTTTATTTTCCAGAATTATTTTCATTTTCTACTAGTTTAAATCAAACATAAAATTGTACCCAAAAAGATGAAACCACACATTAAACAAGAACTTGCTAATTCCCATTATTTCAAAATCATGAATCCTTGAAAATGATGCAGCTGCTAGGAGTTGAACTTTGAAAGAAAATTCTAATGTACAAAAATCATAAATGAGTTACTAAATAATAAATATTGCTGAATAACAAGTGCAAAATATCATGCTTTTGCCAATAGCCATGACTATTCTTTTCTCTAGTGGAGCTACACAGGAATATTAATCCTTTTTTTTCCCCGAAATGATAGACACATAAAAATGGTACTGTACATGTTAGTATTTCGTAATCCTCCATGTTTGGACAGTGTATTATTTGAAATATTATTTGGAATAATTACTGTAGCATTTTTTGTGATGTGATGTATGTGAGATAAAAAAGTGATTGGGAATATAAAAAGGTAGGTTGGGAAATGTGTTTATGATGCAAGCGAAATATTATTTGAGATAATTTGAGTATCCAAACACTTGTGCCTACATGATAAGAACAAGCACAAAAATCCAAAACTCATTTTTTAACAATTTATTTCCCAAGAGACAAAAAAAAAAAATAATTGTAATGGTGTATTTGAATAGGTTCTTATTTACAAAAAATTATTTGATTGTACTATAAACATATTTTTTCAAATCACGTCCGCATTCTTTTTGAAAATAAATTCCTGTGTTTTCAAATGTATAGGGAAATAGAGCAAACGCGCGACTAGCGCCAAGTTGAGGGCAAATGTGCTTTTGCAACTAGTTTTCAAAAATTTGACAAAAAAAAAAAAAAAACTAGTTTTCAAAAAAATAGAGGTGGCCCGTGGCCCAGTATCGGATACAAATGCCAGTCATGGTGGAATAATCTATCCATAGCTTTCTGCCTTCATTCAACCTTGCCCAGTTGCCCTCATTGGTATCTATCGTCGCTCTCTATACACACATCCTTTGTGACACAACTAGCACAGGGAGCTGACTGAAAAGCTATTACCTTTGTAATCTTCCAACCGTGATACCTGTTTGACAAAATGCCCAAACGAAATCCTGATCGAATCTAACATTAACAAATCTTGAAAATAAATTGAAATACTTTCCGTTTCTTTTGGGTTTGTGATGTTTGCAAGTTTTTTTTTTCTTTTTTCAGCTAGCAGATAGATAAGAATAATCTTTGCAAAGGGTTTCGTGAATAACTTGAAAATAAATTGAAATGGCTGAATCATCTGAGGGAGAGGAAGAAGGGAAGCTCGTTGGAGGGAACCAGCAGCTAGTTGTGGATGATGACCTTTGTGAGATGGCTAAGAAGGCTGCTTGGAGTGTCAGCTCTTGCAAGCCCGGCAATGGCGTTCTTTCGCTTCGCGACGACAACCTTGATACCTACTGGCAGTAATTTCTCTTTATTTTACTAATTCACCCTTTAACTTTTTATATTCTTTCCATTTATTTTGCATACAGCTTTCTGCGTGCTCTAAGTATGAGTTTAATTTGTACTTTCTTCGTTTACTTGTGTCGCATTGGAGCAAGATCTGACGGAGCACAGCCACATCTTGTTAATATTCAATTTCAAAAGAAAGTAAAGCTTCAAGTATGCTCTTTTAATTAGTTGGTATTTTTTTTATTGTGCCTCCTGTTTTATGCCATAACTAGGATTCTTATTTGTTTTTTTTATTGTCTCCTAGTTAGTGGTTTTATATGTGGATTTCAAGCTTGATGAGAGTTATACGCCTAGTAAGATCTCGATCCGAGCTGGTGATGGTTTCCACAACTTGAAAGTGAGTCGGGTTTTGATCCTCATGACTTTTGTTCAAATGCGCTCTAACCTATAGAAACTATGAAATATTGCATATCAGAACATCATATAATTGATTGATACTGAATTGTTGATGCATGGAACTATTGAATGTGTTTATGTTCTTTTGATTTTATCTAGGAGATAAAAGCAATCGAGCTTGTCAAGCCAGCAGGTTGGGTGTATATCTCACTGTCTGGGAATGATCCTCGGTGAGCCCTGCAAGCTTTTGTTTGTCTGTTGAGTTAGATATAGAGCCCTAAATAATCAGTTATGCTTCTTTTTCTCATATAATTAGTTCTAATTAAAAAATTTATTTCCATGGGTAGTGCATAGTTTTGGTTCTTTCCTTAGTTCATGTTGACGATTACATTTAATTAGTTCTACTTAAAAAATCTTGATGTCAGTTTGTTAATGTTTTAAATTTTCACGATATCGTCTCTCTTCTATCCTCTGAGTACGCTTTGCACATTTGTTCTTAATTGCTGATTGAGATGACTTGGCTTCAACTAAGTTCCTTTTGGTGTATGTTAATTCAATTCATCAATAACAATTATTCATGAATGTGGTAGGGAAACTTTTGTGAATACTTTCATGTTGCAAATAGCGATCTTGTCAAACCATCTTAACGGGAGGGATACTCATGTCAGGCAGATTAAAGTCTATGGGCCTAGGCCGTGCGTACCTCTTCCTTTCCTTTGCTTCAATTTTTGCCTCACTAGAGCTACTTGTTTTTGGGGAGCTATTCTCTAGTGAAAGATTGTTGTCTGTTACAGGAATCCAATTCCTCATCAAGCCTTTCAGTTCACTTCTAGGGAGTTCATCACATATTCTACTGTGAGATGAAGCTCAGGATCTTGTGCTCTCAAGTTGGACAGCAAACCTGTTCACGGATGTCACGGCCGCAACTTAATGACTATTTTACTGACAATTTAAGTCATTTGAATTGTATCCTGTTAGCCGAGGATGACTATTCTTGGTTCCTTGATGGCTAACTCTCAAGGGTATCCTGTTCCTACAGCTCTTAAAACGTTGATGATGACTTTGGACATAGATTGATAAGCACAATTTGGTTTGAGGTGTTAGCAGCAAAACCTAAATGAAAAGAATATTATCATTTCTAGTTAGCAGTCCCAAGTTAAATGGTTTGATTCTGCCGGGTTCTATCTGATGAAAATCTGAACGCTGAACATGGTTTAAGTTTTGGAGGAGTTCTCAAGCATTTCAGGTAACAGCTACGGAATTAGCACTTTGCCTTGTTGTCAGTTTGATTGATAGCTTTAAAATCGATGAGCCTGGCATCGTTTTATTGACACCCCTTTAAGCCTGCATGTTTTGACCGGAGGCCAGGGCCAATGAAATAGCAAAATTTCACAGTGGAAGAGTTGGTGTCTTGGCGAGACACGATTGGTGAATGCAAATTTTATATTTGAGATTAATTAGTTCTTACCCTGGCCACATAAGAGGTAATCGTTTGATAATCCTCGTTAATCCAAAGATATATAAATTATAAAAGAATTGACCCCGCAAGTCCGAAGATATAAAAGAATGAACATCACCACAGCACATGCACGAGAGAGCGAGAGAGAGAGGGGGTCAGTTAACTGGTATTTTCCACATTGATCTTCCATGGCTGTCGTTTATGACGTGCTACAAGCAGCGGCATTTACCAACAATTTGTGCACCAGTTTTCTCAGCATGAGATCATAGTGTCATTGATATTCATATTGGCTGTGTTATGTTAAAAATATCCTAGTTACCAGAGTCTGATTACCATAAGATGCGAGGAAAACTTGTAACAGATATTAAATACATGGCACTAACAAAAACACTGGTCTGAGGAGCCCGCGGACTTGTAACTTACAGCCATTCAGGAAGACCTCTCATCAGAGCAATTGAATAAGAAATGGTCATCATATCTGCTATAACCACTGAAATCATTCACATGCCGGCTTGGTGTCAAAGCTGCTCAAGCAGATTGCAAAAGCTTGGAAGGCAGAGAGTGGGTAGCGATAATCCATCGTGAAGATGTCCTTTCCAATTTTACCAAACTGCAAAATCACTTTTTCTTGCTCTGCAGCTGGTACATTGTGTGATGGGTCAACAGCTGCCACAAGCTGGAAATTCTTAACAGAGGCTACTGTAACACGACCTTTGAAATTTAGGCACCAACACTGTAACTGCTCATGCCATCGAGGGGCCTTATTTTTAAGCATAAGTGCTTCTCTAGAGTGCTGTGATGCAGCTGGTGAACTTGAAGGACCAGGGGAAGATAAACTTTTGAGTGCCTCCTTTCCTTTAGAGCCCGATGAGGGAAAAGATTTATCATCAAATGACTGAGGAAAAGATTTTGGTGTTGGAGCATTGCCACCCTCCTGCACCGAAGACACTGGAATTGAGTGCATGACACAGTGCATTCGCCTAGGCCCTCTAGTACGAAGGACATTCAGTTCATAGGAAATAGCTGCCACGCCGTAGTTACAAGCAGGTACTCTTGGAGATACTTGTTTTGCATGGAATCTTCTGCTTGAGCGACTGTTTTGGTGAACCGGAGCAACAATTGGAGGTTGGCTATCATAAATGGTAAACTTCGTGCCCAGAAAATTAGACCTGAGTAAATTTTTCATAAAAGTTGAGAACAGAGAAGGGAAGACAAATTCATGCCAAAAACAATTGCTCAATCTATTTGCTGCTACTTACCTCAATTTTCCAACATATGTATTGCTGGCTCGGGAAAAGTCATCTGCAACCAAGGAAATGATGAAGTCTGTACTAGTTGCTCTTCTGATCTTCTTAGCTGCCAGCAATAGTTTATCGTTCTCATCCTCAGCTGTTATGTAGTGAATTTGTTAGTGTCATGACTTTAGGTGTAGTCCATTGTCATCTGATCCAGCATTGCGTTGGGTTATTCAAATAAGCATGTTCTTCAACATTATACTTTAAATGACCATTATAATTCCTCTTATATCACATTTGCAACTTTGTTGGGGAAAAAGGCAAGAACAACTATATAGTTTGTAGCCATAAAGCTTCAATTGATTATCTGCCTTCCAACTGCTATGATTAATAACAGAAGACTCTATTCAACAAGCTATATCAAGAATGCAAAATGGCATAAGCTAGAGAAAGTAAACTGAGGGCTGCATCCCCCCATGATCAAAATGCTTAGATATCGTTTACTGAATAACAAAGTCATGTGTCAAATGACGATGACGAAGCATGATAAGGTAATAAATGATCAGATTAAGCAATCAGTACTGCTCAAAGTACGTAGACCTAGAAAGAGCATTTATTATAAAATTATTGACTCCAGAAACAGCGTGCATCCAGACGAATAGGTTAATCATCCTTGCACTGTGTGAAAAGTTACTACTAAAAAGAAAATCATGTAAATAAGGATTCTTAAATTGGCTGTACTAGGAAATCTTAGATCCAACACAAACTAGTCCTTGTAAGCAGGTATAACCATGTTCTGTGTCACAACGTATCAACCCTATCAAGGCAACAAACTGATAGCAAATATAAGACACACTTCTCCAACAAAGCTACTGCAAAGCACCAACCTAGAAAAATACCCATTAGCTAGTTGGTTCTCTAGCCTGTCTATAAGTTCATATGTGAATGGAACATGTGTCAAGGAAATGCGCATCACCATATTAGTTAAACTAGTTTTTTTAATGGGAATCTTAAAATTGATTTGTAGGCTTCTACCATAAAAGCAGTGCTCACTCTCGTCTTCTTTGATAGAATTAACTTTATACTGAGTACATAACTATTAACAAGAGCAAAATACTTTTTTCTCAAAAAGAGCAAAATACTTGCAGGCATACAACCAAGCAGATTCCTATGTCTGAGTCGCACAATGGAACATACAGCGAAATTGAAATGAACATGTGAAAACGCTGAGAAGCTAGTAGATAGGGAACATAAATAGGAAATCTACTTCGAAATTGAAATGTGACTCCGAAAATATAAATGCGAAGCTTGTAGATAGAGAACATCACTTACATGGGGTGAGACCAAAATGCAACCGATAAACTGATGCTGCTCTATCCCTTTTAATGAAGCACTGAATTGGCGATTCACGAGGCCCCGGCTAGTTGAGAAAAAAGAAGATAATGCAGAACTAAGACCAGATTCTACTCAACGTCAAACCATGCAAGATACAGGATGAACTTAAATGGATACCTGCTTCAATGAAATGGGAAAGGTGAGCCTCCCACATTCCTCTGGAGTTTTGACAATCTCCTTAGTTATATCCCTCCATGACTTGCAGACTGCTGCACAAAAAACAACAACAGCCCTATCAGGCCATGATGTCTCACTCTCTTCAACCCTCCGTATTATGTCCAAAAGAAGCTCTGGGGGCAAGTTTGCCCACTGCCCTTGTTGGATCAGCTCAGACACAACCACATCTGGTGCTATATGAGACCTGGTACGGTGGCGCCAATGCTTCCCTTCCAGTCCTCTCCTAGATATATTCCCAATCCCTTCTTTCATCTCTCTCAGCTCACGCACAATGCTCTTGAATGACATTTCGGAAGATCATACCAAGCGCACCTACAGTTCAATGCCATCCACATAAAGACTCATCAAACCTCTGCTTTCAGAAACCCGAGTTAGTGACCTAAACTTTTAATACTGACTTTCTCCCTACAACCAGATCTATGAGCTAATTCTTGGCTATAGGAGATGCACCCTTTTAGATGGACGAAAACCGAATGAGATCAAACAAGGACCTCCGTTGTCTAAAAAGCGAGAAGATAGCAAAAGGAGGTAAAGTTGAGGTTTTGATTACAAAGAATTGCATGTAAAGGTATACAAAGGAACAATAATTTCAAAATTTCTAAAATGTCATTGCCCAGCTAAAGAAGATTGAACCTGTCCAATATCTATGATCCACATTTTATAATTTTCAGACGAAAAACCTTCCCAAAAAAAAAAAAGTCCCGAACCAAATTAAATGGGAATTATCACAAAATAAGCAAAAAAGGAACGTTGTATGTAAACAAGGACTTAAAAATTGGAACTTTGAGACATGTAAGACAAAATAGAGGAAATTGATGGAAGCCCACCTGAGCAAATTGTGTGATTGAAAAACCAAAAAGTTATAGAGATCGGCGCAAGAAGCAATCAGATCGGAGAATTCCGGCGAATGCAGTCCATCTTCCTTTCCGGGCAGGGTGTAGGAGAAAACCCAGATCAGTTTCGCATTACTCTCCTTCACACAGCGCCGGAAACACCAAGCAACCACCGTCGTCTCCGTCTCCGACGCCGTTCGGAGGGAAACGCGCCACCGGCAACAGGACTCCTCCTCTCTCTTTCCTCCTCTCCTCCCACTAGTACTATGTCTGGAGGCCTTTACCCTTCAGATTGGAGACTCGAGCCAATAGCAAAAAACGCACCAGAAACACGCACGTCCACACTAAAAATAACACACAATTGAGATTCCATGTAGACCACTAGCATTGTATTGTAGACTATATAATAGCAGTGGCAACATTATTAAGGATTTTATTTAGTGTAATGAAAAATGGTAGAGGAATCCTTCCAACAAAAAAAAAAAAAAAAAGGTGGAGGAATTCTAATAGTTGGTAAATGAAGGGCTAAGATTTATTGACAGTGATGAAAAGGGCGAAACTTTTTACACGTGGCAGATGGGGATCCCCAGGAGTCCTTATTAAGTGGGTCCCTACGGAGGAAGGCACGGTCTAATGCAGTCAATTTATCTGATGGAACGTAGATATCAACTTGATAATCACAATTACCTAAATTAATCACCCATCAGCCCATCGCCCGCCTGCGCACACTTTTTTGTAAAGGTGTTTTTGCCGGAACTTCAATTCGTAGATAGATGGAGACTGGAAAGCAAGGAATCCGAGGAGAGGGAAATTGGAGGGAAGACCAGAGCTGAATGGGAATACTGCATGTTTTTCAACCTTTATGGCACTAGGATGGCGGCTTAATTAATTGCCAACTTAGAAATAATTAAGAACCGGATTGCCATAACCTGTTGAAGTCATCAAAATCTAGCGGGTCAAAACTCAAAAGGGGGAATATCTCATATTGGTGCCTACGAACTAATTGACCAGAATTATCTTAGAATGTGTACTGTGCGTATTATCAAAAAAAGAAGGAAAGAATTTAAAGAAAGTGCGTAGTAGAACTGGGCCGTCATACAGCCAAGACATGCACACAGAAATTGACCGAAAATTCCAACAAGTTTTCCAAAATGGAGGAATTATGGGTGATTGTGATTGGTTCAATTTGCCAGACAGAAGTTCAAACAAATCAAAGGTACTACTGCGTAGATGCTGGTGGAGAATCTAAACTAAAGATTAAACGGCCTCCTCCTCTTCTTGTTTTTAGCCAAGTTGCCTTGTTATTGATGTGGACTCCATGTCCTGACCTGCGCAGAAGTTTTCTATTACTAGTACTACTATAATGGGATGGAGTACTCCTTATTAGCTGTAACATTTTTACGAGTAGGCCCTGTTAGTTTTATGCATGTGGTTTATGAAGAATATGTGGGACGGTGGTGACCATAAACATTCATTCATATGGGCATCCTCCCAGATCATCGTACGTGATTGTGTAAAAATTGCTGTCATCCTCGACGGGGGATAAGGTCGGGCAGCCAGCCAGCCAGCCACCCACCCACGATCCCGTAATCCCATTCCCATGTTTCGCCATTGGATGCTTGGGCATGTATATCAGTCTTACTCTTGCCAGCCTAGTTCATTCTTTGTCTTTTTTTTTTTTCTCGTTTGGTATTCATCGTCGTTGAATTCCAATCTTTTTTATGAATCAACAAAGAATCTTTTCGATTTCATTGATTGCTTACAGAAATTCTTGCATATTATCCGCTAATGCAATCTCCGTTTCACTGTCGAAACTTGTATTGAAGAAGTAACCCATGCTCTATATATCAACTGAGTCATTTTCTACCAGAATTTCTTTTGTTTTCTTGCAGCTTCTTCTGCGTATCCAGGGATCTATCTACTTTCATTTGTTTATGGTTCCGTCTTGGTGGGTTCATATCTCACGCGTATCTTGATTGGTAACCAAAAGATAAATACTACCAGATGCCAATCATTCACGGGACAAGGTTGACCAACATAATCCAACTACTTTAGCGTTTTCAGAGTAAAGCTTAGAGATAATTTACGATGGAGGAGAACTTTAGATCCATCCTGCATAATTTATTCGGCATTCATGTCGTTTAATTGATGGTCAAGGTATTATTGTGATTTCGAGAGACTTTATTGAATTCAACATGCAACATTATTCCTATTTCATTTTATTGATGGTAATTAACAATCCAGTTTCATTTTATTCTTTTTGTTAATTTGTATTGTTTTGGACTGTCAAGATATTGCATGCATATTGATAAAGAAGATACAGACTCAACTTAATTACGTTGGCTTTTAAACCACTTTCGGTTGTATAATTTCATAAATTTTCTAAAGAAAGTTATGTTATGCTGCATGGAAAGGAGCCAAATCCTAAGAAAAAGAATAATTGAGGTCATAGAAGGAGATTTTGGAAGAATTTCATGCTTCGACCTTTCTCTTACCTTAAAAGTAACATTAACTTTTGAAAAAGTCTTTCCCAAATGATAAAAAAAATGGTGAAGTCTTCGCTTAGCAAACTTTTCTTTTCCTTTCTCCCGTCAAGTCCTTTCTGAAAAAAGCAATTTTTGGTGGGTACGCAGTGTTAAGCAACCGCAATTAACTATGAAAACATCCCTGTTTGAAGCCTAATCGGCCCTTCTTTTTTTTTTGTTCTTTCTTCTTCTCTTCTTAATCAGCCCTTTTTGGCGTCAAAGTTTCTGAACCATAAACAACCTCACACAGATTCTGTAACTTATAACAGTAAGTATTTTTCTAAAGTAAGAGAAACCCTTATCCCTGGACGCCCTTGTGGATTAATTTGTGAAAGCTGCCCAAGTTATTCTTTAGACGTGCTAGCTTTTGACCTTGAGACGGATGATGAGTAAAAATATCCAGGGGCTTGCAGACAAAGAAAGATATTAGTCCATTCCATCATGGATCCGCAATCTAATGGTTTATCAAGACAGTGTGTGTGTCATTATTTCCTCATACTTCAAAGGTGCAAAGTGGCTTTAGCTCCTATTCTTCATGTCTTTGAAGTTTTCTATCCTACGTACAAATGGGCTAAGTTGAAGTAATATTGATCATCTAATAATAGTTGATGGCAAGGATGGAAAAGCAAATCAATTAGTATATCAAAATGTTAGTAAAAACCCAAATTCCATTGCAAGAAACAGCTCCGAGTAGTTTCCATATTGTAAGTCAACAAAAAAACAGCAATTATTACAGAATCTCAGGTGACTAGTTGAAAGAAACAACTCTAGTGGAAGAATCTACCGCCTGTGATTAATGCTAATGCGACCTTAAATTGGATAATGAAAATAACATCACTTAAAAAAAAAAGCTTGTTCCTTTACCTTAACGGTAAAGCTCAAGGAGCACTTCTACTGGGGGTTCGGTTGGTCTCACGTAACTCTCATCGGGTCCTAATTTGTCAAAAATTTCCTGAGCAAAAATGTTTCTGCAATCTTCTTGGCTTATACTTGGTGGCTTTCTAAGCCTCTACGCCAGCCAATTCCCTCAAAACCCCTGTCAGAATTTGTGTTCACAAGCTTTAGCGTGCAGCATTTTCACATCCCCCTCCACCTAATCGGTTACTATCTGGCCTTCTCCCTTAACGAATTGGAAATGCGTGGCCGTATAAATACGATTATGCCTGCATTGCCTTCTCAATCTCATCTATTCATAGTTGAAGAGAAAAGGCAGTACTTCGTGCTTTTCTCCCTAGCAAAATGCCACGCAGGAATAGCTTATTTTCCGCGTTAAGCATTTTTCTCTTGGGGTTTCTTTGGTTCATTTCTCCGCCTGCTGAGGCTGCACTTAAGACGTACCAGTTTGATGTGAGTTAATTGCACACTTTTCTCATTTTCCTATGCTTGTCGTAATCTCTCTATCAGGTCGTTCCGGCTACGGATCACGGAGCATGATCTTAACCATGTTGCTTTTTCTCCCTTGACCATGTTGCAGATTCAAGTGAAGAATGTGAGTAGGTTATGCCATGCAAAACCTATTGTTACAGTAAATGGGAGGTTTCCGGGGCCTACTGTGTATGTTAGAGAAGGAGACAGAGTTCAAATCAATGTTACCAATCATGCACAATATAACGTGTCTATTCACTGGGTAAAAAGAGAAGAAATTAATCAAGGAAATCAGACAAGAGGAAACAAGGATAATTACTGATTTTGTTGTGGATCTCTACAACTACAAGGCTACAATTGAAGTATAATAGACAATTTTGCTGTTAAATAATTTGGTCATATAATATGCTAGCTAATTTAAACTTTCCCCACGTCAAAGTATACAAGGTACGATCCATGTGATTCTTAAAGGAATGAATTATAAACTCATAACGAAGTAGATGCATAAATTAAGCCACCTTGGGTTGTAGTAGGGTTTAAGGCAAAGTTAGCTAACTTAATGAGACCAAACCTTATACACACGATAGTTTTTGGATTATCTTGCTGGAAAATAAACATGTTCTTTTTTCCTTGAGGTGCAATACAACTGTAAACTTTTCTTTGTATGTCTTTTAATCTTCAAAATAAAGGATGGGACGATTTGTGTTTGGTGCAGGGGAATGGTGGCATGCAGACGTTGAAAAGCTGGTAAACAAAGCAAACCAGTTAGGCTCACCTCCAAACAAGTCAGATGCTCACACAATCAATGGAAAGCCTGGACCACTGTTTCCATGCTCTGAGAAACGTAAGGAATTGACAGATAAGAGGGCTTTTCAGATATATGGATATCACTTTTATCATTGTACAACGTTGTGGGCCTCAGAAAATCCTAAGCAATACATTGGTATCACTATCACCTATGGAAGTTAACTAACACCAGCATTCGATTTACCTCTTTCAGATACTTTTGTCATGGAAGTTGAACAAGGCAAAACGTACCTGTTGAGGATCATCAATTCGGCCTTAAATGATGAGCTTTTCTTTGGTATTGCTGGTCACAGCATGACTGTAGTGGAAGTTGATGCGGTATATACCAAGTCATTTACCACTCAGGCCTTGCTGATCGCCCCAGGCCAGACAACCAATGTTTTGGTCCACGCAAATCAAATTCCAGGAAGATATTTCATGGCTGCCAGACCTTTCATGGATGTTCAACTTCCCGTAGACAACAACACCGCAACAGGCATCCTTGAATACAAAGGCATCCCTAATACAGTTCTTCCAACGCTTCCTCATTTACCCAAGTCTAACGATTCAGCATTTGCCTTCAGATATAACAAGAGGCTCAGAAGCCTGAATTCACCACAATTTCCCACAAATGTTCCTCTACAAGTTGACAGGAACCTGTTTTACACAATTGGTCTAGCAAGGAATTCTTGTCCCGCCTGTTTAAATGGAACCCGATTAATGGCTTCTTTGAACAACATCTCTTTCACTATGCCCGAAACTGCGCTTCTTCAGGCGCATTATTTCAATGTTAAGGGGGTTTTTAAAACTGATTTCCCCGATCAGCCTCCTAAGCCATTTAATTATACCGGTGCACCCCTCACAGCCAATCTTAAGACCACTATAGGCACAAGGCTCAGTAAAATTGCATTTAACTCAACTGTGGAATTGGTATTACAGGATACTAATCTTCTCTCCGTTGAATCACACCCTTTTCACCTTCATGGTTACAATTTCTTTGTTGTTGGAACTGGGATTGGAAATTTTGATCCTGGCAAAGATGCACCAAAATATAACTTGATCGATCCGCCAGAGAGAAACACAGTTGGTGTTCCTACTGGCGGTTGGACTGCCATTCGATTTAGAGCTGATAATCCAGGTGCATTCTTGGGGTAGTAAACAATCTTTAAACGTTAATTTGATGATTTTACGCTCACATATATTGATTTTTTGGTCTAAATTGTACGTATAGGAGTGTGGTTCTTGCACTGTCATTTGGAGATTCATACTGGATGGGGACTGAAAACAGCATTTGTTGTGGAAGATGGTCCAGGGGCAGATCAGGGTATTCTACCTCCACCGAAGGATCTCCCAAAATGCTAGTTGCTGGATTATTTGATTCAGCCAATCTCAGTGTTTGTACAGGAAAACATTTCTTGTGAAATTGCAATTAATTTGTTTATGCCTCTCAAAAAAAAAAAGATAAGATGGTCGGAGGCTATTTGAGTGTCATACTTCAGACGCAATCCTAAAGGTGCCAACAAAGTGTAAAAAGTCAGAATTTTCCTTGGGATATTTGTTGGAACTGCAAAGTGTAATAAAGTCCAGATGCATTAATGTCAATGGACTTCCATTTTTTATTTTTTTTTTAGTTTTTTCATGGCTGGGTATGCTTCCAAGATTTATCAGCTAAAGGAGTTGGCTGATCATGTGCTAATACTACTACTACTAGATGATTATTGAAGGGACAAAAGGGTGGTCTTACATCATCATTATGAAATAATTGAAATTCTCTTACAATTTAAAAAAAAGAAAAGAAAAGAAAAGAAAAGAAGATATATTGATAAATCAGAAAGAAACATTAGAGTGGGTGGGAAACCACCAATCAATGACGATAATCCTGAAGGACATGAATTATAATAATGGACCCAAAGAACAAACTCGAGGCCCTGAAGATTGGTTTTTTCGACTGTTAAGGGGTAAAGCCCAAAGACTTTCTGAGCCCAAACCAGAAACAGTCCTTCTAACTAAGTCATAAATTAGACATCCGAAAAGGATTAAACTCCGAAAAGGAAAAAAGAAAAGAAGAGCAAAGTCAGAAGAATTTCGATGAATATACATATAAAAAAAAATACTATACTACACAATGCAGGGAATATCCGAATTTCGCACGGGGAGCATTTTTTAACGTTCACCAGCCATCTTTGATCATTCCTCTGTAAGTAACGCACGCAGATATACGTCCTTAAAAGAAGCTGATTAAAGTATACGACTTAGTATATAAAGTAAAATATTTTCCAGAAAAAGATGGTGACTGCATCGTCCCTGCTGAACACGTGGTCGGTCGTCAATCCATCCTTAACTTCTCCAAACAAACCTCGGCGAGTCAAAAGGTGATTAGTGTTGGTTTTATTAGCTTTCTGGGCTCTGATTTTTTTTTTTTTTTTTTTTTAAATTAGCAGTGTTTGACATTGTTTGAGCTTCCTAATCTGTTACACCAGACGCGCAGGGATGGCATTTGCAAGCGTTGGTAGCTCAGAAAATCCTTGTTTGGGTATCAAAGTTACACATGGCCAAGGAAATCTGCCCAAGGTCATTTTGACTTCTTCCCATGGCAGGTACTTCACTAAATCTTGTTCAGTTCTTACTAATTAGCCCATAGATGTTGATTCTTGCTATTATATTATGTCATTGGAGCATATCCCTTGTTCGTTTCAGTCTATCGGGGTTATGTGTGATTTGAGTTTTATGGTTAAATTGCTGGAAAACTCGTATCTAGATCGTTTTCTCGTGCTTCAAGGTTGTGGATTGGGATTTATGAACAATTCATGGATTTAGAAAAGGAAAAAATAATTCTCCCTAACAGTTTCTGATGTGTTTTGCTAGGTATACTCTTCTGATGTTAAATCAAGTTTTACTTGATTAATGTACAGTAGCTAAAGCTAGCTTTGACAGACTCGTTAACTTCATTGCAAAATCATGTAAAAAAAAAATAAATTTATGCACTTTCTTTCCAATACACTGGCTTTGAGGATGCACAATACTAGCTTTTCTGTGTCTATCATAGGATGCTGTGAGAGCTGCTTTGAAGCATGACATCAGTTCACATGATAGATTTGATAAGTATGTGAGTTAACTTTGAACCAGAGTTTCTGAGTTGGCATAGCCAAAGGAGCAGCATCCATAAGTCGTATACACTTGCAAGAACTTGGCCAATACTCCTTTGTGAAGAATGTTTTGATTAAGGGGAAATGTGAATCTTGCTATTACTTTTCTGTTATTAAATCTGAGGTGTTGATAAAGTAGACTGAGAACCAGGCTGCTAAGGAGCTAGGTGCTGATAGAGTAGGCTCACAGCCAGGCTTCAACGAAGTTATATCTGTGATCCCCTCATGCCAGTAGTTAGTGGGATGTCAAAAATTCTGTAGTTTCCATTGGGTACTTTTTGATCTTTGATACAACATTCCTTATGTCAAGCATGAAATATTACTTGAACCTAATCGCACCACCATCTTTTTGCTGAAGCTTAAATGCTAGGACACCTTTTTGGCTGCCATTTAGTGGATGATCTAACTTCACTGGTCCTGAAAGACTCTACCAATGACTGTACTTTGGCAAAAAAGTCTCATATCAGTAACTAAATGCTGTTAATATTATGATTTGGAACTGGCTCATACAATTGTGCATTGGTGCATATTCGTATTATTCTCCGCTTGAGAATGCATAAGTGGTAATTAACTCATACTGTTTTTGCAGCGAGGCAGAGTTATACTTATTTGGAGGTTGTGTCACTTCTTGGAAAGTAGCCAATAAAGATTTCCTTTTTGTTCGGCCAGATGCTGTGTTCAATGGACAGAAGCCAATCAGGTTACTCTTTAACATTACATTGCTGTATTGTTATCCAGTTCATGAGATAGTTTCACCTTCATCTCCTCAAATAGTAATAGGCTTTTCTGTAGCTACCCCTCCTTTCTTCAGACCTGTAGCTATCCTTAGTAGTTTAATTATGTGTTCAGAGATATAGGTTATTTGGTGGCTATCAGAGACAAGAATGTCTGATCTAATACTACCAATATGAATCAGGAATTCATATATTCTTTATGAGCAGCAAAACTTTAAGATGCCATTCTTGAAAGAAAATTCTGCCATTAACTGACTCTTATGCCTTGGGCACAGCGGAGGAATTCCTCATTGTTTTCCACAGTTTGGACCCGGCCCAATGCAGCAGGTACATGTTGTTTACTCTTTGAATATGGTTCACCGGCTAAATCCCGATTAACTGAACTTATGTTGGACTTATCAAATTCTTAAAGCTGAGATGCTGGTTAATCATAGTTCTTAATAACCACTCTATTTGATAACTGTGAGCTCCAATAGTTGCTTAATAAGTTTAGTATTGGTTTTCCAGTTGTTAATCTAATTTTCTTACCTTAAGGATCCTTATACTCTTCACAGCATGGATTCGCAAGGAATATGAACTGGTCTATTGTTAATTCCGAAAATGTGGAAGGAAATCCTATTATCACTTTGGAGCTCAAGGATGGTCCATATAGTCGTTCTATGTGGGACCATACTTTCCAAGTTCTGTACAAGGTTGGTTGTTTAGCCATCTTACATTCTACTAAACACCCAACAAGGAAATTTTAACTTGAGAAAACAGTAGAGGACAGAATGTGTCAAATTCAGAGCTACTTGTGGCTTGTTGCGATCTTTGCGTAATATCTTTATTCAAGCTTTCTCATTTATCTTCAGGTGACTCTGGATAAAAGGACCCTGTCGACAGAATTAAAAGTTACAAATACTGACCAGAAGCCATTTTCATTTACAACTGCCCTGCATACATATTTCAGTGTAAGTCTTGCCTTACATTTTTCACAAAACATTGATCACAAAGTTTGCTTTGCTTTTGGCTTGGATTCAAACTTTTGAGCTTACTGGAGATGTCAAACTTAAATCAGATATTTGTGCTTGAGAAATTGCAGATGAGCAATCAGTCAAGAGGTACTGTTGAATTCCCTCTTCTCAGAGAGCATGTGGTTAACCATGTTTGCTTTAAAAAAAAAACTGACGGTCAATGGGTGTGGAAGGTTCTAGGGGATAATTTTTGTTCAGGAGATACTAATGCATATTTGAACCCAGTGTGTATTACTGGCAAGTGGGTGTTCATTATTTCTGACATCATTTGTCACAGTGCGTTACTTGCATTACTTAAAATAACACATTTTTCTGCTTCCATCCAGGGTGACATTCTTTTGTATATCCTGAAAATGATCTGGTAATATGAGTTTGTATTCTGTAGGCTTCTGTAACTGGAGCATCAGTTAGAGGTTTAAAAGGTTGTAAAACACATAACAAAGATCCTGATCCGAAGAACCCAATTGAGGGTCAGGAGGAAAGGTGGCTATATCTCATACCTTAACTTTAAAAGCTTTATCAGTTATTTTCTGAAATGTGTTCTTCAAAATAATTTCAGTCTTAGATAAGCCATATGCAGTTAGACTATTCAGCCTTTAGTTCTTGTTACTTGGGATAACTTTGTACGTGAATTTGACTATCCAAATATACCAATTCCAGTAATCTTTGTTTCCTTTACTCAGGGATTTAGTCACATTTCCTGGATTTGTAGATTGCATATATCTTAATGCTCCTAGTAAATTGCACCTGGATAATGGCCTTGGTGATACAATACTCATCGAGAATACTAAGTGAGTGATGAAATCTCTCTGTGATGCTACATCTTGGTCTGTGCTCAAATTACACCCTACCTCACCCAATTTTTCCTTTTTCCACGAATAATGTTGTGCTACACTTACTTTTGCTGTAATTCCTTCTGTATGCAGTTGGTCAGACACTGTACTATGGAATCCACATCTGACAATGGAAGCATCTTACAAAGACTTTGTTTGTGTTGAAAATGCCAAGGTATTAAAATGGGTTACTGCTTTGTTTTTAACCTTTAGAGGCTGATGGGTAATTTTTCCATCACCAATCAATATCCAATCAGTTCATCTCACTGCATGATAATGGTACAGTGTCCTGCTTCATTCCTTATAACCAATTTCTCATATCTGTGACAGTTCGAAATGGCTGCTGGGAAAGTCTTTCGATGTTACCTTGCTGATTTCTATTTTATGTTGTCATTTTTGCTGTTTCCTCAGATTGGACAAGTTCAGCTAGAGCCTGAACAATCTTGGACTGCAATACAACTTCTCAGTGTTGCTTGAAGTCAGAAAGGAGTATCCCTTGTGGGGTTTGTCCCGTCATCTGATACTGTTTTGACTGAGGTAACATGCCAGCTGGTATCACACATTCTTCGTGGAGCTACTTATAATGTGATGCGAGAATTTGGACGACATGCTTGTCCTTCTAAATAATCTTGACATCAGAAACGATATTATGCTATTGTTGGATAAGAAATTGTCGGAATATTTAAATATGTGAATTTGCACAAGTAAATCAAGTTCCTTCTTACTTCCCATTCTAATCATCTGTAAAGGTTTAGAACTCAAATTGCCTTGGCATCCTATTATTATTATTTCCTTCACTTTTTCAGGATGAGCCTGTAAGTCATGGCCTGAAAGGAACTTGAATCCCTTCCCCTTCTTTAATAGAAACTTTCAAACGAAAATTTCTGTACCTAAATACCAGTCTTGTGATTAAAACATGCTCAGGTTGAATAATTACAGCACAGATAAAACATTCCTACCACAATACTTACATAATAAAAGCAGGATGTTTGCCAGAGTAAGCTTCAGCATTAAACATTTAAATGTGTAAGTATCCTCGTATGCCTCAACCGGAGAAGTTATGATGAACTTTTGCAGATACTACATAAGAAAAAGCAAATAAGGGACACATTTCATGTGCATTTCTAATCCACTAAGCAACTGTAGGTAAAAGAATATCAGAAGGTAATCAAAAGCCCCTGAAACAGCCAAAGAAGCAGGATGTACGTGCTCCTCTAACCATTCTTTCCTTAGCTGGCAACATGCTTCTTCAGACAACAACTCAGGAAGTCAATAGGGCAATTAAGCACACGAGCAAGATGATCAGTCCCACAGCCAGCACCCATAAAACCCACTTGTTACCCTTTTTCTTCATGTGCTTAGCATAAAAGAGACTATTGGTTCCACCACTGACAAAGCTTCCAGCAACGGCAACATTGTGCTCAATATCATCAACCTGCTCACCTTGAGCCTCAACCAGAACAGCCATATCAAGAAACACTTGATGAAGCTTATTCAAACTTCTTTGAATATCCATCACAGCTTCATGCCTCTCTTTGTTCTCCAGATTTAATTCCGTCTTTCCTTCAAAAATTTCAATTTTCCCATTTCCAGATACCATCTTTTCAATCACTTCTTCACTTGGTACCTCACCAGTAGCATTATAGTACCTTCTCCTAAGACTATCTTTGTAATCTGAGAGAATGGTATCCCTCAAATCTTGAAACTCACACATAATGTCCCTAAGCTTGACCCTTAATCCATTAGTAGTTGCCATTCTGATTCGATCAACAGCACTGCCTTCTGCATACTCTACTGAAATCTTCCGGTTGGCCTTATTTGATTTATCCAGTGCTTCAAGTCTTGCCTTGACAATCTTGGCTTTACGAAGAACAGCAACCATGTCAGAATCCATCCGATCTCGAAGCCCTCTAAGAATTTTGGCACTGTGGGTGATCTTTGACTCTTCATTCAAACCTTGAAGATCAATTAAGAGATTAGTGATCTCTTCCATATCACCCTTAATTACTTGGACTTCTTGAAAGAATTGAGAAAGATTAGTATTATCTGCGTCAATCCGGCAAACTTGGCCATTTTCTATGTCAATATCATTCTCGGCTTCAATATCCATCCGGGCTTGTTTCTTCAATTCAACATAACTTAGAAACGACTTCGTCATTAGATCATTCATCTTAATCACATCAATCTCTCCCAAGACCGAACCTGAAAAGTAGTTCTTGAATTAAATAACATAATTCACTTGTGTAATGTGTGAGAAACAGAGACAATAAATGTAGTTGTCTAAACCGTAAATCATGCTCGTACCCTTTGGAAGTATGTGAAATTGAAGATCAATTTCTTGAAATTCTGGCGTTAACTATAATCACTTGCCACAACTCACAACCCTGTAAATAACAGAGAGAACACAACATTTGCAGTAAAGTTCTTCATTTCTTCAAAGAGATTAAACATAAAACTGAAAAATATTGTAAATAAATTCAAGAAACTTGTTACTAAAACTTGATAAAACAGCAAGTGACTGACAAGAGGGTTGATTGACGCTGGAGAGCAAAAGGGTTGATATCTCTTTTGATAGAAGTCGGCCTCTGTTTTTTCTGATTCCACGGGGGTTTATGAGGGCACAGCACACACTAAAATTTTAAAAGGCAGATAGAGGAAGGCTGTGATCAATCGGTTTTTGTATTTGAAATTTTTGTTGTTAGGATAGCCGTTGTATTCCGCGTACCGCTCAAAGTCGGTTAGTTAGTTTCTTTAATCCTGAAAAGGAAAAAAAAAAGGCCATAACCGTTCAGAGTCTGCAAAATGCGCTTATATACGACGTTATCTGCATTTATTGTTTTCTCATTTTTGCTTTCTTGTCTCTTTTTTTTTTTTTTTTTTTTTGGTGACATTTACCAGTGAACCCAGATTAATGAAAAACTATTTTTCGAGAAAATGAAATGTTGACTGGCCAATTCTGAACGAAGAAAACGTGCGATTTTCAGAATTGCTGCATGACGTCGTTACGTTTTACACAAGGGAAGGGTGTTTATAAAAAAAGGTAGAAGATTAAAAAGAAGAAATAAAGACACTTTTCTTCAGATTACACCAGGACCTGGTTCCATTGTTCCTCCCAGAAAATAAATGAAGTTCTTTTATTCTGTAAGAAAGTTTCTCGCGTCTTGTGCAGAAGTAATGCGTACTAGGATGTCTGGTTCGAGAATACATCGTACCAAAGTCCCCAAAAATAAACGAACAGAAGAATAATAGGAAAAGGAAAAGAAAGAAAAAAAAAAAAAAGATGTAAATGTACTGCCGACCTGTTTTTAGATGCCACCAGCAATAGCTCCAAACAGTTATGAGTTTTTACAGAATTTTCCTGTTCGAAATCACTTGAGAACAGCTAAGATCGTCTAACAGCTCCAGGGAAAAGTGCAAAATTTTTGGTGTTCTTTCCCCAAAATAAATGACCCATTTATACAGAATGCAACTAAAGTGAACCAAATTACAGAAAGTTGCTATGAAACCAGACGAGTTATTGTCCAACACTGTCGGATGTTTTAACCACGTAAAACTCTAAGCCGTATGGTGATGATTCTTGAAGAACTCCACATCATTTGCGTGACGTAAAAAGCCATCTCTACTCTGTTACAGCTGATAAGAGAAGAAAACAAACGCGAAACCCTTAGATTCAGTATGGACTCCGATGAAAACTCATTCCTGACCTTCAAACTTAGATTTTCTTGATCTTATCAGCCTCAAGCTTCCTCAACGCCGTGGAGCTCAGCTTGTCTCCACTAGATTCTTCGGAGACCAGATCAACAACTTCAATCTGCTTAAAACTATCAAGTGAATCTTTAATAGTATTGCGACTACCCTAACGCCAATAACACAATTTCGAGTGGTACGTTGAATATCAAACCTTTAGTTGCGAAAGGCCTCTTTCAGCTCTCTTCCTGTTAACTGAAAGTCCACCAGGTATTGTCTCCTTGCTGTCAGAATAACAACTCAAAGTCAGTTTTTACTTCAATGTACAAAAATTCTAGGAAACAAAAATGTATACTTGTAAAGCTCTCCAATCAAAATCTTTCAAAATACATGAATTATGATACGAGAACCCAATGCTTAGATCCTCACACCACAGTTACGACAAGATAAGTATCATCGACATGAAATGATTTCCCATTCTCAGTTTTGGAGTCAGATAAGAAACAAAAAAGTCTATGCTCGTGGTAATCATGCGAGAACATGTATAAGATTTGCAGGAAGCAATATTGTATTTGTACTTTGAAGGGGGAAAAAAAAAAGGAGAGGAGGAGTGGGGGAAGTGGGAACCAATTGTCCTGTCAGCACACAGCATTTTCCAACAATTCTACATCAGCTACATGAACTTTGTTGCCCCTATTCATCGAATTCATGTATAATCAATTCTAAAATGAAAAAAAAAAATTCTCTGACATAGAAGTTCAGACCAGAAACCCCAGAAAAGAGAATTTTTCTCTTGAATGGATATCAAAGCCATAAAGGAACTGAAGTTAAATCTCCTAAATCTTAAAAGGAAATAGAATAAGAAAAAAAGCCCAAAAAACTTGATGATGGTACAGACCTGACAACAATGGCCTCCAAATTCTCATCAACTATTGAAGGGCCATAAGGATCCACTATAGGTTCCGCTTGCACCACCAGCTCTGGTTTTACAGACTAGAAGTGTCGCAGGAAAGTATACAAGTTATCAATGATGCAACGCAGTAAGTTACAATTCTTCTGCTTTTCACTACAATTCTGAAGGCAAAACACGAGGCAGCAGGTTTGATAATACATGGCCTGCTGCATTGCATATAAAGAGCTGCAATTTTATACTATAATGCATTCGCTTAACAGCCCATTCAGGCATGAAAAAGCTGCAATTTCATTACAACGAGATAGCTCAAATGACTCCTAAAAATGAGAAAGAAAATTAGACATGGTAGTATTATGGACGCAAGTAGAAATAAATACCTTAATGTAATCTTCAACGTTCTTCATTCTTTGTTCAATAGGCTCTATCAAGTCAGCATACTGCCAAAAAAGTTAAAGCAAGAATGAGTATCAAACAAAAGCATCAAGACGAGTAAACAAACAACTTCACTAAATTGGTTGACGAATAGCAGAGAGGGAAAATTTGTGCAATGCAGTTAGGATCCATACGATCGATCAGAGATAGTCACAGGATGAATGGTTCAATCACATTGTTGAATACCTGCTTTTTAATCAACATGGGGCCGTCACAAACGCCAATGACAATCCGATTCCGGGCCAACTCCGCAGCTGCCTATAAAATTGAACACCCCTTAATCAATCAATCAATCAATCAATCAATCGCATCGCCATTGGACACTCATCTACAACTAAGATGAGATAACACGGCCATCAGCAGTTTATAATTCAAATATGGCCTCACAAAAAAAATTCTTTAAAAGGGCAGGCAGAAATGAACTATAAAACACCTTAAGGAACTGGCGATGACCGTCGTGTAAGCGATCAAAGGTGCCCCCAAGAACCACGGCACCGTGAGAATTAGGGGCAGATATGCCTGAATTGGAGATGGGTTCATTCAAGATTGCCATCTGATCTCGAATATCTCGAAGGAAAGTGAGTGCCGTTTAAGGGGTCTCGAGTACAGAGGCTTTTGCGCCCCCGGAGGCAAATATTTCAGTTGAGTTTGAGTAGCAAGTTAGCCAAAGGAAGGCTGAGAGTTTGAGTAGTAGTTCCGAGTTAGGTGAAGCAGAAGGCGAATTGTGGTTCTTGACGGCTAAATAACAATGAATTGAATATGCCAACCACCTAAAAAGTAGGAGACTTTGACATGGGATATTATTATTGTTAACTTTGAAAAGAAGAAGCGCAAGAAGGAGAGGCAGACGAGAGAGAAATATGTTGTGAGGATTGGGTCTGAGCTCAAAGGGGCAGTTATGATTACCGATATTGTTGTTGACAACAACTGCTCTGCAAGAAATTGCCCTGCTCTTGACAAGTCAAAACGACATCGTGGCTTATCGGCAAAGATGGGAAATGCATCTTTTTAAAAGAGGGCTGTCAGCAATTGAATTTTTTTTTTAAAAAAAAAAATTTTTTTTTTGTTGCCTCCCCGGACACAGCAACTCAAGATAAATTATATAATTGTCAAAAGTACATTGAACCTGGACGTTTTTTTGTTATTGTATCAACTAATGCTATTTTTTTTCCCTCCCCCATGTTGGTGAAGATTAGATTGTCAAATACATTGAACCTGGACGTTTTTCTTTCGTATCGACTGGGAGTAATATATTTTTCCTCCCCCAAAAATGTATCTTCCGGTTGCCACTTTACTCTTCCAGCCCAGTCTTTCGGGACAAAAAACTGCTTTCGCCATCAGATAGTTCAAACTTCACCTGGATGGATGCCAGCATGAGCATCATCCATAAAATAACACCTCAACCCCCTTTTAACTGAATTGTCGTCGCAGCGGAATTTCTTATCAAGAATTCACCGAAAACTCATATGACCAAAGATGATACAGTGACATCCTAGATACGAGGTTAAAGGGGCACTTGCATTACAGCGTACAGAGGTGACTAGTAAAACGCACAAAACTTAAAACTAATCTGCAAATTCAAGTACCAGAATGAAGAAATTTTTGTTTACGTCAAACGTCATTTATTTAAGAAGTTAAATATACTGGCAAAGGAGTGCTTTTAAACTGTAGGTGGAAAAAAATTATTCAAGATTTCGGATTCAATCGGGATAAGGAACTCCAAGCATTCTTGCCTTTCGCCAACTTCTTGCAAAAACGAAACCTGAATGTCTCTTCAAGAACCAGGTAGGCAAGAAACCTAGAGATGCTCATCGCCTGATCACTCTAGATTTAGTTACTTAACTGCAACAAAAGAAAACCTGTTGGAGAAAGACGACAAGTGGATATTCATTCTGCTAGCAAAATTACGGAACCAAGAGTACCAACAGCTACCATTGGACAAAACTGGAATACCATACCTCAATGGGAATAATCAGAAACAAGACTTTGCAGTTTTCGAGTAACATTAGGCCAAAATTACCTCTTGTTAGGAATCTCCACTGCTTGAAGCTGAATTCAGCTGCACAGGGCAAACAATAACTCGTGCAGCATTTCAACCTAAATCATCTACAATTGCAAAACTTTTAGAACTTCGTCACTGTGACCAGACACTCGTTCAAAAACCTCTCAAGCTCTGATGTATATACACTGGGAAAAGTCCGATAATGGTCAACATGAGGTGATGCACCAAAGTTGAATGCCCACACATTTTTCCCACTTCTCTTCTGTTCATCAACAAATGTCTCAACTGATGTGAATGGAATGACCTTATCAGCTGTACTATACAGATAAAGCTGTGGGCAAGAAGGCTGGTTTTTTGAAAGGACTGAGATTATATCTGTCAACCGCCTGTTCAAAGATAGAGAACAAACAAACATGTAAATCTTGACTTGTTCTCTCCTTCTTATGGTCTAAATGCAAAAGTGAAACCCAGGATTAGTCATATCTATTGAATTTTATGTGTTCATCTCATAGTTTTTGAGATAAAAGAAGATATTCAGCATATATCAGGAGTTTCTTAAATACTTACTGTTTGAGATAAAAGAAGATATTCAGCATATATCAGGAGTTTCTTAAATACTTACTGTTTGACATCGTTCAAGTTTAGGAGATAAGAGAAGAGCTTCTCAAATGCTGACAAAAGTAAGGTTTCAACGAACAGGGGCTCCTTTTCTCGCAACTTTGAGGTATCAACTCCACTTTCCAATTGATTTCTTCCTACACCTTCAACTGATGGATAAGATGATGAACTGTATTTCTTTAGCAGGGCTGCAGTAAATCCAGCAGCCCAGACCTACACAGGATAAAGCTGAATCTGTTACTGAGCACTATTCTTCAGAATAATTTTGTTAAACCAAATTATCAAAGATTTTGGGACTGAAACAAATTTTGTAACAAATGCCTGAGTTCCACAAAATTCCGGTTTTTCTTTCAGTTGTTTTGTATCAGAAAAAGTTGCAGAGTAGGATACCGAAGTGGTTAACAATCAGGAAACTCCTGTATTTCCACGTTTCGAAGATCCAAATGCAATCAAGAGGAGATATCAATTTGTGAAAATCAAGGCCAGCATCAGCAATTTCAAACACGATCACCAATCACAAAGGATTGAGTAGAAATGGAATTCTCTTCAAGCATCATATAATCAGCAGAAAACAACCACAAGCTTGCAAATACTTTTTTTTCAAGTATTTTTTAAAGTAGCTTGCAAATACTTTATTGTTGTAGTAGATCAATGTCTCCAATAACTAAATTAATCTATATACACGATCGCAGGAAATAATCTCATGAAGTCTAGTCTTTTCAAATATATTTGGCTGTAAAACAAGACAAAAATCTGCTCAATTTACCATGTACATAAGATATGGACTAGTTTATCTCACAGTTTCCTTCCATAAGGAGTCAAAATTTGTTTCATTAGTAGAGAATGGGGCTACGAATAGTTATGTTGTCTGGCATTAAGTTCATCAAAAGCTGAATGTGAATGTCGCTTTTGATGTGAATGTCCTTATAAATGTGATATAGCATCCAACTAAATGCAATGCACTGAAGCGAAAGGTGCTTCAACTTCATATCTATGCACTTATCAATGTATTTATGTCTATCAATTAGTTCAGAAAACTGGTGAAGCCGAGCCCCAATCCTGAATTTATGAGCTGAAATTCATCATGGATAACGAACTATGTGCAGAAATTGGATAATAAGCCTGTTTCAAGGTCCAAAATAGTGTATGCACAAACCTTGGGATCTATATTAGCGTCAGCTCCTGAATCAACAATAATTCCCTTGATTTTCTCCATTAAATCTGGCCTACTTTGCAAATTGTCAAGAATGGCACCATACCTGCTCTCAAAATTCCCAGCCAAAGAAATGTAATCAAAATGCCAAGCATAATGGTACAACCAAAAAATGTAAAGCTGCCTCAATAAGATAACAGTATAGTACAACCAAAAAAGAAAGACTCAACCTACGCAAGCCAACCAGTGTTGCTGAAGGTATGAAAAATCAAGAATCTTTCACGACCATCTTTTTCTGATTGAGCCAGCCAAGAAGCCAGCTCAACTGCCAACCCAGAAATCCGTTCTTCTAAATTCTTCCCCAAATCAAACGAAAGCACATCTTTGACAGAAGCAACAAAGGTAACAGCATGAATACCCCTCGAATTATACAACTCCACGTACCTCCTCAGATGCTTCGGCTTCGACCCAAGCCATCCCAACAACACTGCAGCAAAGATTGGCCCTTTATCCCCCACGACCCCATTTTCTCTTGGGTGGATTCCATCAGGAGCGTAATTCCAGTGGAAAGAGTTAGCTTTTTGGTCAGAGAAAATGCGGAAGAAGGCTGAGGTGGAGAAGAATGAGTTGAGGAGAAACTGTGGAGAATTGAGGGTAAGGGAATAGCCAAATGGGGTCGTTGAGGGGTGGTGGGGAATGTGGGCGTTTGAGAAAATAATGGAGTGGTGATTTTCGGGGTTAATAAATGAAACTGCAGGAGTTGGAATTGGGCGATGACGATAGTAAGGAGGAGGAGAAGGAAACAGCGTGGAAAAGGGCTTTAGAGGGAGCGGCTTTTGGAGATGGAAAAGGGAGTTGGGAAGATGGCGAGCGGAGGAATTGAATAGTATCCGGACTGAGGCTTCCATTGTTGCTTTGGGGGTGAGGATAGGGAATGCTAAACAGGTCGCCGGCTGGAATTCTTGGTTTACAATTTCATTCGTTACCCAGATTTGGTTTAGACTCCAAATTTGGCTTTTGGTTGTATTCCAAGATACTGCACAATTTTTTTTTTTTGATGCCCAGATACTGCGTTAGGAATATCAATTTTTTTTTGAGAGAGTTTTTTTTTTAAATATATATATATATATATATATATATATATATTATTAGAGAGGTTGAACTCACAATAACATAATACTACTAAATTGTTACAAGAAAGTTGGACATAGAAAATGATAGACCAACCTCAAAATCGTTCATTCAAGAAAGTTGGTTTTTCCCTTGGTGATTAATGTACTGACTTGGCAGTTGTGAGTTTACATTGTGGTTGGATAGCGGACCTTAATGGCCCATCGTAGCACCTCCAATGAGTTGATTAATTTAGGCCCAAGAACATTCGCTTTGCGTACTGTACCTGCACTTAGTGTCACCACAGATGATCATTAGGCTTGCACTTAATTCTCATCATCTTTAATCTCTCCACCCACATGAGGCCTATGAGTTGTTAATCTGGACGCCAAGCACAATTAATTAACAAACTTATTTCTCTCAGTGATGAATAGATTGGTAGAAAATACATCATAAAGAGTTTCTGCTGTATGCCTACAAGTCTCATCATAAAAATTGTTGCTTGTTGGCTTGTAATCCGCCACAACTTAAGACAGCACTCCCACCACAGAAATACAGACGAAAAAACCCCCAGTTTAAAAAAAAAATCCTTTGACAAATGCTCCTCCAGAAAAATCTTCGTCTTCCTTCGCCAGTTCAACAACTTGTAATTCTTGAATTGTGATCAGAACTCACTTTTTGTAACTTCTTAGTTGCAGCAAGCCATTGCGAGCTGAGATGAAATCCATGTCAACTTCATGTGCTACTCTGCCACATTATCTGAGGACCAAATTCTTGGACCCCAATAGCAGCTACAATTTCATTGCCCCAGTTCAACTCGGACTTCACCATTATAGTGAGTATTCAGATTCTTCGTTAGCATTGATGCTTATACTCGCTGTTAACAACGCCCCCCCCCCCTCCCTCCTCCTCCTCCTCCTCCTTCGTCTTTTTCTCAGAGAGCAAATGCGAATTAAACAGGAGGGGTTTTACATTCAAGGGGATTGTTGCTGCCGGAGCTTCAGCTGTTGCACCTTCTCTGGTCACTGAATCTTCACAAGGTCAGTTATGTCTCCATTTATGAGAATTGAAATTGCACTATTCTTTTGGGCTTGAGGGGTTAGTCGAATTAGATGTCTGTGTTGTTCTCTCCGTCTGTCCTGTGCTTTTCTTTTTTTTTTTTTTTGGTGTGTTTTTGGGATGAAGGGAAGTGGAGAGTGAAGGGTGGATGGGGGTGGCTTTCGAGTTTATGTATGGCTTCATGATAGCTGTTGGCACTTTAATTAGTAGGTGATGGTACACTTTTTTTTATTGGATCCTAGTTTCTAAATTTGTCATAACTGCTAAGATATGTAGGTTTGGAAAGACTAATGTATAAGCCAGATGGCTACAATTACTGGACATGGCGAGGCAGGAAAATTCATTATGTTGTAGAAGGAGAAGGGTTGCCAGTTGTTCTAATTCATGGATTTGGTGCTTCTGCTTTTCATTGGAGGTACTTTTTACTATGATTTTTGTTATTAATTCTAGATATAATCTTGTACTTAAAAAAAAAAAAATAGGATCTTGCTTTGAATTTACATGTCAGACTGAAGATTCATGGCAATTTGTTTGAATATTTTTGTAACAACAAATGGATCTTCAGCAACTTGAGCTTCTGTTATGGTGCTAGTGGCTTAGGCTCTGTCTAGCTAAGCATAAAACCTGCTAATGAAGTTTGGGCTTGGATACTTCAGAGAACGAAGGTCAAACATATTTTTACTGTGGTTTCAGAATTTTCTTCCAATCAAGTTTTACAGTAAACGATCCTTCCATTTACCTACATAGTGATGCCAATTTGAGATTTTGGGAAGTTTAAATTGGATGTAAACTTAAAGATGAGTAGCTGCGTATTAATGTGCTGAAGGAATGATCACTTTGGCATTGGGTAATGAGGTTCGTAATTGTGCCAGTCATCATATATTTAGGCATGCAGAGTTATGGTGCATTTTATGGCCTAAAGAGTTTTTTATCCTCTCTGATTTTCTCTTCAGGTATAATATTCCAGAATTAGCTAAAAAGTACAAAGTTTATGCACTTGACTTGCTAGGCTTTGGTTGGAGCGAGAAGGCACTAATTGAGTATGATGCTTTGGTTTGGAGAGATCAGGTTGTTGATTTTTTGAAAGAGGTAGTCAAAGAACCAGCAGTTTTAGTTGGCAACAGGTGAGCAAGGGCAATTGGTTTCACACTAACTTAATTCATGCGACTTGCGCGCTCCATATTTTCTCTTTTCTTTTTTTAAACTGAAAATTTATAACAATTCCTGTTGAATAGATAGTAAAATTTTAGGACCACTGCCAGGAAAGAGAATACAAGAGGAACGTAACATAAGCCTAAAAACTAATGTCATTAAGCACTGCAATATAGAATTTGCCTCATGTATTATCATCAATCAAGCACAGAGGGGTCAAAATTGAAACTTTTCTAATGACTAAGATCTTTTTCCAGAGAAATCCAAAGTCTAGCTATTAGTTCTCCACAAATTTTGTATCCAACGGTCCTACTTTGCCTCTGGGAGTAGCAGCTAAGATCTCTTTCAAGGGACTTCTCTTTAGCGGGATTCAGGTCTCTCTCTCTCTCTCACATGCGTGCGCGCACAAAATCTGAGATGGAGGAGCGCGTGCACACACATACGTGTTGCGTTGAGCTATGTGGCTCTGAAATTTCTAATTCTTTAACTTCATCTCACACTTTTATTGCTAGTGCTGAATGGATAAATTTCTTTTTTGACATAACTATGTTGATCTTTCAGTCTTGGAGGATTTACTGCACTGGTTGCTGCAGCAGCACTGCCACAGCAAGTCAAAGGAGTCTCATTACTGAACTCAGCAGGACAGTTTGGGGATTCACTTACTGTAAAAAGTGAATCTGAAGAAACACCGATACAAACATATATTCTCAAGCCCTTAAAAGAAGCTTTCCAGCGTATTGTTCTCGGATTTCTATTCTGGCAAGCCAAGCAACCTTCACGAATAAAATCTGTCTTGAGCAGTGTACGCTGAATTCTTACACCTAGTAATGAGTTTCTAAAGAGTCCATTGCCACGTATCCGTTTGTCCAAGAAATGGCAAGTTACCATGTTCTGCCAGTGTTGAACAAAATACTCACCAAATACATAGCACTGACTCAACTAATAAACCTCTATAGCAGCCAAGGTTAGCTGGGTCCACAGTTAGATGAACCTTGACAGGCCCTATACCGGAGGTCATTTGACCCTCTTTTAATGGGAAAAGAGTATATTTTCATTCTGATGCATTTGAAGATGGTAAAAGAAGTTACACTAAGTTCAGCATTTCTCCTGCACAGAAATTGTACACCAGACATGGTAGACATGTTGAAATTTTTATCTGCATAGCTGTGGCACGTCACTCAAAAAGCAGATGACTGCTTTCTGGTCTAGCTGGTTGCATTTCTAACTAGTTTAGCTAATCTTCTCAATGAAGAAGCTTTGCCTTTTAAACAACCATGGATCGCGCATTTACTAGATGGTGAACTTACTTGCACTTTGTTCTCATTTTCTAACTTCAGGTATATATAAATGCTTCAAATGTGGATGACTATCTCATTGATTCAATTACAAGGCCAGCAGCAGACCCAAATGCAGGGGAAGTGTACTACAGGTAGGAGTCTGAAACAGCTATATTCCTACGTTTGCTTCTAGAGGTATAAGGAAAAGTTAAGGACTTCTGTTCGCTAATAACTGTTTCTCTTGGGTGCATTATGCAAGCAAAAATGCTTACTCATCCCTGTTTACAAGTTGATATTTCTGTGATCAAAGTCCACGTTTTATGCAGCAAACTGTTCTAAAAACATGGAAAATTGCAAAATTAGCTGTTAAAGTACTGTGAATCATGGATTGGAATGGACCTGTTTAGGAAGCTTATTCAGTCTTCTATATATGTTGGTGGAAGACATGCAAATTTGTAATTGAACAGCAACATGATTGCTGAGGAAATTTTTCAATGATGGTTCCAAAATTTTTCACCTTACCTGCTAAACTTAGTAGTTAAAGGCGTTTCCGCAGCTTTCAGAGATCAGCTTATTTAGTCACTTTTTCCAGTTGACTCGCCATTGCCAATGTTAACATGCATAATAATGCATTTCTGCAGACTAATGACTAGATTCATGTCAAGCCAGAGGAAGTACACACTTGATAATGTGTTAAGCGAACTCTCTTGCCCGCTGCTACTGCTCTGGGGTGACTTAGATCCATGGGTTGGTCCTGCCAAGGCCCTTCGCATCAAGGAATTCTATCCAAATACATCCCTTGTCAACTTACAAGCAGGACATTGTCCCCATGATGAAGTTCCTGACCTCGTGAATAAGGCTCTAACGGATTGGCTGTCAACTTTGACATCTGCACCTCCTGAAACAGCATGACTTAATCCGGAACTTACACTTTCATACGGCCTTCATATTTAATTATATTTTACATCAATTAAACACAGGAATTGTTTTGCTGATGTAATTTGACAACATGTAAGATGAATTATATGGACTGCAATTCCAAATTCTGAGATCATTGGCGGATGAAATTTCCTAAACATGAGCGGTAATTTTTTGTTGTTTTAACCAATAATTTTTACTCTAGTTTGAAAAGGACAAAGTTTTATCCTCTATCTAACGTTTTACTAGAATTTAGGGTGGTAAACTGCTGCTTCGAAACGAGCAGGGTTGTCAATGTGATTGGTTTATTCTGCAACTTTGGCAATTGTCAAAGGATCTGATGCAGTGATGATGTAAACAATAAAACAGCTGGCTTTTGGTGACAAGATGGATTACATCGATCGTCCTCATCATATTCTTTTTTTTTTTTTTTTCTTTTGAGGGCAGGAAAACTGAAAAATTATATCTGTAAAGGGGGAGATTGCTTGAAACTAGTTTTTCAAATTAAAAGTTGCACTTTGTGGTACTTGAAC